GCAAGGCTGTACCAGTCCCTCATCACGGTGACGAGGGGTGGGCAGGCATTGCCGATGGGGGAAATCGGCGGTGCTAGCGCCGAGCAATGGCCAGTCACTGCACCTCCCCCTACCCCCCCCCAACCCCACATGGCCGTGCCTAATGGTCAATACTGTCGCTGCATAGCAGTTTCTCACATTTCGAGAGTGGTGTGGCGAGGCCCAAAGATCCCCCCCGAAAGGGGGTCGGATGCCATAATTTGTCGTTCGAGACATCCGAGACACAGAAGAGTACACGTCTTCAGGGAAATACAACGCAAGCACTGTTATTATGGCCGTATTTGGGGCATCTTGGAGTCTAGATACAGATACATCCATAATGGGGTATGCTGTATTCGGGTGAAGACGGGTAGCGTGGCCCCTGCGCGAGGATGACTCACAAACGCGAACTGGAAATGTTCGAAAAATTCCATCGCCGAGCCCTCGAGTCCGATCCATTCAGATCAAACCACCCTGAGGGCGATTCAGATCAAACCACCCTGAGGGCGCGTGATAGCACTGGAAACCATCGAGGTCATTCTCAAACTCGCGCTCTCTTCCATTCCATGTATCTGACCGCAAGCACGACCATCTACTCTCGGATGCATCTGACTGTAATCACGTCCACAGCCTCGTCGATCAAGTCCTGGTATAACAGTATGCCCTGAGAGGATGGTCGCGAGTCGAGTCCGATCCATTGAGATCAAACCACCCTGAAGGCGCTTGATGGCACTGGAAAACATAGAGGTCATTCTCAAACTCGCCCTCTCTTCCATTCCATTCCATGTAATATCTGACCGCAACTACGACCATCCATACTCGGATGCATCTGACTGTAATCACGTCCAGAGCTTCGTCGAAAATGTCCCGGTACAGTATGCCCTGAGAGGGTCGTCGCGAGCGTGTGTCAACTCGTCTCGAGCTGTCGTTGCTGGGGATGGCGGACGCCAAACCCTCTCAACCCGCAGTGCAATCGGATGGCAGCGCAGAGCAGCAGCAGCAGCAGCAGCAGCAGCAGCAGCAGGAGGCTGCTTCTCAATTACCGAAGCAGGAAGATCAAGGGGGAAAAACCGAGGAGTGGCTGCCTCCAGAAGCAGGGGCAGGCTTTGACAATCCACTGGAGGGATTAGCAGCTCAGCGAGCAGCTATGGAGCTGCAGGGAAAGATCGAGCTACATGCCCTTCCTGTCAGAAACTATCTCGAGTCATCCGTCGTGCCAATTCTGCTGCAGGCACTATACGTACTAGTGAGAGAGAGACCTGAGAATCCTGTGGAGTACCTTGCGGCATTTCTGCTAAAAAACAACCCACAAAAGCCAACTCAGCCGGTGGCGGCGGTGGCGGCGGCGGCGGGGGCGGGGGCGGGGGCCGGGGCGGCACCGGGGGCGGCGGCAGGCGCGGCGCCTGGGGTGGTGGCGGGGATGGCGGCGGAGGCACCGAAGCCAACATGAAACCTCTTCTGCTTATTCCAACAAGAAGGAAAATGTGCATGATGATGAATCAGGGGTTTGTACTACTCACACGAGGACTTTGCTGGATGAATCTGGCCGCAATTACAGCGTGGCGTGGATGTATCTAACTGCAATTACGTCCTGAGCTCAGTCGTAAAACTCCCTGTTTGAGTATGCATGCTCTCTCAATCCTGTGGGCATGCTCTCTATCCTGTGGGCCACGAAATCAAATTCCCGTCATCTGCAGATAACAGCCCAAGGCGAAATAGCGCCTCGCCGACATCTGCTGTTTGAGGAGGTGCTACGTTTTTTTTTGTTTTTTTTTGAAAGTGGTATGGTTTCTGGTAGGAGATATACTACATAGGGCCTCGCTCCAGTACTCACCAAATGTTCAAAATAGGAGAATGAATCTTCCGCTAGAACATGGAAAGATACACCGCCATCTGTTTTGTCGTTTGCGCATGTGGTGAGTGGTGGAGCGAGGCGGCTATTCTTTGGGAGGTGCGTTTTCTGCTCCTCGAGATGGTGAGTGAAGGACAAATGATGGAAGGCATAATATACTGTAATATAATATACGCCATCGCTCCATCAATCACCACATGCAGCGAAAGACAGAAATGATGCCAATGTATCCTTCCATGTTTCGGGAGAAATTCATTCACATTTAACACATTTGGTGAGTGATCCTCCTACCGCCGACCTGGGATGGGCTCCGCTTCTTAGGCCACGTTAGGAAAGTGTACTCTCCACCTCTGGAAGCAGTGGAAGGGGCATACGGCACACTTTCCTAAAGTGGAATTCTTGCAAAATGCGAAGCGACTGATAAAAGATCCTAGATTTGGAATTGTTGCGAAGGAATGGAGGAGGGGGAAGAGGGGAGAGGAGAGAGGGGAGAGGAGAGAGGGGAGAGGAGAGAGAGGAGACGGGAGAGAGGAGAGGGGAGAGGGGAGGGGGAAAGGGGTGCGGGCAAGTGATTGGAGCGTTAAAATGCAATCAGGGGAGAGGAGAGAGGGGAAAGCGGAGGGGGGAAGTGCGGGCAAGTGATCGGAGCGTCGAACGTGCGATCAGGGAAGAGGGGAGAGGGGAGAGAGGGGAGAGGGGAGAGAGGGGAGAGGGGAGAGGGGAGGGGGAAAGGGTGGGGGCACGTTGTTGGAGCGTTAAATGTGCAATCAGCCAGCTCACAGAGAAGGAAAGAGATCATGCGTCCAGACTGCAGAGTGAAAGAAAGGGGGTGAGACGGTAGAAGAAAGGGAGGGAGGGGTCTGGGATTACATATGACCCCCCTCTCTTTTCCAAGGTCAGATTGAAGAGGGGGAGGGGTGTGGAATCTGGAAGAGAAGGGAAGAAGGAGACCTGAGCAAAAGGTGGAGAAACGAGATGGTGAGGTTGAGGTGACAGAGAGGGTAGGAGAGGAGAAGAGAGAGGGACCTCTTTTCCATCTTCTTGCTGAGATAATAGGTAGGTTGTAGTGCAGTCATCATCAATGTAATTAGTTCTCTTTGCCTGGTACGTTTTTAAGAAACTAGGCGTCGGCACACTTTCTCTTCCAATAATCAGATCTATCTTTCTCTCTCTCTGACATACGAGAAAAAAGAAATGGGCAATGAAAACTGTTACAACGCCCAGTTGCATTTCACACACACGCAACCACCATTCACTCTCTCCCATCTTGCGCAAAACACACACACACACACACACACACACACAAACACACACACA